GGACGGGATTGTCATAGCTCACACAAAGCTGAACTAGATTAATCAACGCATTTTGGTAAACCCAACCCCAAAAATTAGGACCCTATGACTATCAGATCATGTTTATAGGATCCGAGTTTTGGGGGTTGAGGTTACCGAAATCCCGTTTTTACGGCTGCATTCTGAGGGACTCCAACAGCTTGAGGCATCAGCGTTCGAAAAGCGATCGTGGTTTCCAACCATTCTTTTTATTAATATTGATGATCTAAAAGTAGTAACAATTATGGTAATACATTATAGTATACTACTATACTAGATTATAGTATATCATTCTAGTATGCTCTAGTAAACTATTATAGTTCAACAGCAATTCCAGCCTCAGCAGTTGAGCTAACAAGCATAATTCCTGTGTTATGCATCCCTGTGCTCACAGTGAAGTCGATACCTATAGATCAAAGGCAAGCCAAATCCACAACGGACAATTTGCCGCTCGATGACCTCTACAAGCACGAGCCACAAATTGAAACGCCGGAGAATGCTTAATGGACTACACCCCCCCCCCTTTTAAAGACCTCGATATTAGGAATCCCTGTTATAATCCCCATTCAGGGGGGGATGCATTAATCATGGGTCTACATCAGACTTGACTTTCGCTGTGTGACTGGCAGATGACGCAGTCTTCCATCCCCTGAAAGAGGAACCGCCCAAACAGCAACTTATTTGCTAGGTCGAAGTTCCCGTCAGCAATGCTCTTCTTGTCCTCATGAAATAACATCCTTATTTACTGCCTATGGAAAACCAATACAACCCTAGACAGTCCCTCTATATTCCCCCTACACTTCCTGAGAAAGTGCAAAAGCCCAGACCTTCATCTCCCTAGGAGGATTTTGGGGATTTCCCATAATAAGGGGTGCCACTTTAGGGGTCCCCAAAATAAGGATTATAGAGTACATTGGGATGTATATTGAGGTCCCCTGTTTGGGTAAACTGCCTGGTGTCTCTTCAAGGTCAAAAAAAAGTCCAAAGCTCAAGTGCTGCGCGGCCTGCGTGACGTAATGCACTTGCAGATCCTTGGCCTCAAACTTCTCTTGGACCTTCCATAAGGTTAAGGGCTTAGGGCTCAGTGAGTAAGGCTTGGACTTTGGGCTTTAAAGTGATGATGCAGGGCCTCTCTATCTTCTTCTCCCTTGGTCTCCCCTTCGCGGATTACAGGAAGGATGTTAGGCCGGCGGGGCACCAGCTTCAAAAAAACTGCCTGGGTAGCAAGAAGGTGTTGTCCAGAAGCTCTGGACTCCAAGACTTACTTCTAGTTTAGCAAGGAAGGAGGGAATGGATCCCTATAGCAGCCCATTTTTAATCGCCAGTAATATGGTCGTTCCCATTTTCTTGGAAGAAATAAATCCCTACAGTCATCACTTTATAATCGCCAATCATATAGTAGCTTTCGTTTTCTTATCCTAGTAGCTTCCGCTGTCTCTTCCATTACGCATATATAGAACCTATATGATCCCAATAGGTTACAAGCCCTACACCCTAAATCCTCAACCCTAAACCCTGGTAAGAATCAGCACAAGCATTCGCGGGCCTCTTCGAAGAATTCATCCTTGGCTGGGACGTGGCTGGCGGATCTTTTTGAAAGATTGTGATTCCAGGGCAGGTATGGGGGTGCTGCATTAGGTTTTAGGATTTGGGGTTTAGGGGTAACTTAGGATTCTGCATGCCTTCCCTTGAGCAATCGCCGTAAAGAAGCCTGAATGATTGCTTGCAATGTTGCTTTGGGCCTTACACTGCTACAAATGCAACACCTCAAACATGAGTCAACCATGTTTTGAAGGGCTTCTCTGCAATTATCCCAAGATGGGGGTTTCCTAAAATTGGGGGGTGCCTTTCTGAGGGTCCCCATAATAAGGATTATAGTATATTGGGGTCTATGTTGCAGACCCTTGTTTTGGGACGCTGCCATATAACCCCAAGATGTAGTTTTCATGTTCTTTTCCGTTATCTCTGCAACATTCCTGCCTATGATCATCTTTATGGAGCGAGCCGTACCATGAAATCATAAAGGTTTAGAGTTTAGGGACCCATAAGGCTACTAACCTATTTGGTAGTTTCCCAAAATAGGGGAACCCCAATATAGTCCCCAATATACTATAATCCTTATCATAGGGACAGCCAAAATGGTACCCCTAATTTGGGGAAACCCCTATTTTAAGCAATCACTCAATCCGAGCAGGCTTGAGGCAGGGTACAAGCATTAGGTTTGGAGCTGGGCTGTCTCCATAACAAGAACCCTCTATGTCTTTGGAGGGGTGTGGGAAGGACCCTAGACCCTGAACCCTAAACCTAAACCCACAAAGTAGTTTCCATTTTCTTTTCCATTATCCCACTATTACCCCAATATTACCACAATAAACTCCTAAACTGCAGCCCTGCGCCACCCATGTAGCTGCAAGGGACCCTGTAACCCTAAACCCTAAACCCATCCATTAGGGCAGAGATGCCTACTTGGAGGCCCATGAGACTTAGTAACTACTTATAATTGGGCCTATAACCATAACCTTAATCATAATCTCCATAAATGGGAGAATCCCAGTTATAAGTAGTTACTAAGTCCCATGGGCCTCCAAGTACCCTAGTCTATGCAGGCTCATTTTGGGGCTTTCCCTAAATTAAGGGTACCTTATTGGGGGTCCCCATAAGAAGGATTATAGTATTCTGGGGTCTATATTGAAGTCCCCTACCATTTTGGGGTCCCACTTTTGTTCGGGTGAGAGTGCGTAAAAACGAGGGCAGCGCAGGAGAAAGGCTGGGGAAGGCTGGATCTTCACTTCAGCATGATCAAAAACAAGGGGGGCCATAAAAGGCCCTTAGTAACTGTGGGGATCAGGAGGAGGTTGTAGGAGCTCCCTCCAAGGATCATATCGGATGGTTTGCAGAACTTCCCAAAAGGTCTGGTAACATCCTGAAACCTGTTCAAAACAAGATTGTGTGGGCTAGGGTTTTGGACTCTCAGGGTTATGGATCCGTTTGGGGATCCCCTCAATTGCATGATTGAGCAATTTGGTGAGACCCAAGTTTGGGGAAATACCCTGATGTCCTGATGTCCTGAGGCTCAATGACAGCTGCCAAGGTTCTATGTCGAACCCCTTGGATGAGTGCTCCTCACGCTGTTGTATCAGTCACTGCTTCTGACACCCTCACTCGCGCAATCGCACATGCAATGACAGAGTTGGCCTTTGAGATATGGGGGTTTCCCAAGATTAGGGATACCTTTTTGGGGGTCCCTACAATAAGGACTATATATAGTATTTTGGGGTCTACATGGGGGTCCCCTTATTTTGGGAAACTACCATATCCCTGCACCCTGAGTCTGGCTTGCTACTGACGTGCTTGTGCAGAACAATATGTTGGCTTGTCCAGCCAGGCTCTGATGCCGAGCTGTATGTCAACTCTCAGGGGCAGACACTTCAGCTTGCTTCACGCTTCAGGATCTCTGTTCATCACTATCTTCGCATCGCATGTTTGAAGCAGAAACCGAACCCTGAGACCCCAAAGCCGTAATGGTTTTATTAGTAGGGTATACGGGAATATGTTTATAATGGTCTTATATAGGGTATATGGGGATAATATTCCCTTATTCCCTACCAAGAATCACTAAGAAACGACTCAGGCTCCTCTGCTCCATGGCCATGTCCGGCATGCGCTGCGTGACCGTGCTCCGCATGCTCGGCGTGACCGTGCTCCGCATGACCATGTGAGTTACCATGCCCCTCCTGCAACTTGGAGGGTCGGAAGGTTCAATATAGCAATAATGGAAGAGAGAATGGACTTTACTATATATTATTTAGGGTTTAGGGTTTAGGGCTGGGGGTTTAGGGTCAGGCGGACTTAGTGAGTAGGTTACGAACCCGTATAACCCATATAGCAACCCTAATTATCCCCATTATTAACTTACTTACTAAGTCCCCATTGCCCTCCAAGCATGAAACTTCATCCATTTGCAATGGAAAAGGAAGGTTAGGCGAAACCTCTCGACTTGTAGGAAGCCGGCTGTCAGACTGTCAAAGCCCTTTCCCAGGCGGAGGACAATTACTACATCCTTGCCTAACTTACTGGAGGTTTGTAGGGAATAAGGGAATATATTAGATTAGCTTTAGATAGGCATTATATACCTGGACTTGGCCTGTAAATTCAAGCACCTAAGAAAAAATGCGCCCCCCTGGATGTCGCAGGCCTCTTCTTCTCCCTCTTCCTCTTCATCCTCCTGGCTGACTGCTTAGGCTGAATACTTGCAATATTAGGCGCACTGGGCTACAAGGAAGTAAGCTAAGCTGCAACCATGAAGCCCTATGATAATGTGTGAATGCTTGGCTTAGGGTGCCTCCTGGTCCGCCCTATCTCCCTTAGACTCCCCTCCTTTCGCTGGAACACCTGAAGTCAACCGCGGTCCATATAAACAGACCACGATGTGTGCGTGGTTGCTCCATGCTGCCTTCAAAGCACACCACCAACCAACTCTGCAAATTTCTCACTGGAATCTAGAATGACTACAAACCCCTAAGGGTGCTATGTGACCCAATCCCGTGGATCCGTACGCAGAGCTCTGTTTTAGCAAGCCCCTTCTAGGCGGAAGCTTGCAGAGTGGCCTCCTCTTTCTCGCTTTCCTGGACAAGCTTGATTGGTCTGCAGGGCGCTACTTGTACTACAGGCGCTGCTGATCCAGTCCTTCTCATAAAGGATTGGAACCGCCCGCCGCCAGAAGAGTTCCATGGCACCCAGAACGCTACACTCCAAACCTTATAGTCCCCATTAAGTAGATAGAATATGGGGTATATGGGGATCTTATTATAATATACCCAAAACCATATTCTATCTACTTAAGGGGGACTATAACCCCTATATGTACCCTACTATAATATAGTAGTTTCCATTTTCTTTTCCATTATTCCCTGTAAAACCCAAAAATATACCCCATATTCTATCTACTTAAGGGGGACTATAAACTTAGAATGGAGAGCCTCGCGAAGCTCGATGTAAGCTTCCACCGTGAAGGCCAACAGAATCTCAAACATGATGGCCACCTTGGCAGGTTTCTTTGCTAGCCTGCAGGGTTTTGGATAAGGAATTACAGGGATTTGGGGCGTTGGGTTTGGGCTCATGGTTGGATTGCAAAACCAGTAGCATGCCACCTCAGAGATCTGAGAATTCCCCAGACCCATACAATTCTGAATGAAAACCCTGCAAATCCTCATAGATCCCTGGCCTGGGGAACCTGGCGCGCCCCTCTTGTTTCCAGTACCTTCAGATTTCCCCTCCCATCATACAGCCAAAGCTTCAAATATGTAGACCTTCCAACCTCCACTCTCCCAAATTAAAACACAACCGACCTAAACCAGGGCTTAGGGTTTAGGGTATAGGATTTAGGGTTAAACCCTAAACCCTAAACCCTAAACCCCAAAAAAAGCACCAACCTCCCCTGAGGTCCAGGCTCCAAGGAAGTAGAAAATCGGGAAGATCAACCACGCAAAATCCCCCCACCTGAGATGCGGTTTAGGGTTTAGGGTTTAGGGTTTAGGGTTTAGGATCATTATTACTATTACACGTACTATGATCATCATTACTCTTCTTCTTATTACTATTTACATGCTCAAAGTCAGTGGCACCTTGCGGAAATATCCTCCAGCAAGTAATCTTGATTGCCGAGGCTCTTACATGCCTTAGCAATCTACTGGGTTGCTGTTAAGG